AGCAGGACTTAATGTTGTTGATCCCAATCAAAAATGATATCCCGTTCATCTTGTGTTTAGAGCCCAGTGTAAGTCTTCTGCTGAATCCCATAAACCTTAACTTGGTCCTTTCACCCTTACATGAGTGTGATATCCTGGCATTGATTAGGCCTATGTTGGCAGTTTACAACAGATCATGCGCCTGTTCCCCCTTATTTTAGCTAATCATCAACTCTCTTGTGGGAGGCATTTAACTGAATCCATATTATTTCTTTCAGAAGTTACAATTATACAATCAAATAAAGTGGTAACTCATTATATACTTCTTTTTTCCTTTAAAAAATTTATAATCATGATATCTATGAATGGATATTGGCAATGGGTACTAGTGGTCAGAAGAAATATTTGTTTCTTTCACTGTATTCTGGCAATTTCCTAAAGATGAGTACAAATGTACTTAGATACTCTCACATATCTCGTCATACGCTAATTCTTGCTTGCCCTTGAGAGCTTTAACTGCCTAGATTTCCTTGGACGCCATTGTTTCCCTTGCATGTTCCTGAATAAATATGAGCCATTGCTATAGTTGGTTTTGCCATGTTCATCTTCATAGACATGAATTGTTAGGTGGTTTTTCTGAGCATTCGTGTACACACAGATAGAACATGATCGTTAATGTTCTATAGTCCTTTCTTTGCATGGTATATTTTTCAATAAACTGCCGTACTTTGCATTTGCTTGTCTCTATAAACTTATTCTAATAGCTAGCAAGTAAGCTTTAATTTGCTCATTTTACTTTGTAATCCAGATTAAGTTCTCCAAACCCAAGGACATACATTGGATCTGGAAAGATTTCAGAAATGAAGAATGCAATTCATGCATTGGAGGTTGAGACTGTAATATTTGATGATGAGCTTTCTCCAGGGTAAGGCTTGTGTGTTTTCTAGTTATTGTATCTTCAAATTGTTTCTCATAACAGATATTTTTTCTACAGCCTTTGTTTTCTTTTTGTGATGCTGTTATTGTAATTTCCATTACATTCATGTTCTTTTTCTTCTTTTTATCATTAATTATCTGTGAGAATCCTTGTAACTAAACTTGAGGTTAAGGAAAGAACCAATTTCTCTTTCTGGGACCTTCACTTTAGAGTGTTTTACAAATTTTAATGCTATAGCCTTCCATTGTATTCAGCAAGGCCATGTTAAAAGATTTTGGTACTGGGATCAATAAAGTACCAAAAGAAATAATGATGACGAGTACCATTTGTTATCATTAATGAGGTAAAGGTTGCCAAAGCTATTAGTTTAAAATCATCTTTTATATTTCTTATGTGGTATACTGTGTACTTTTTCTTCTTAAAGTCTACTATATAGTTTTTTCAAAATCAAGTTGGGTAAATTGCTCCACTTAGTATATGAAGGAGTTGCACTTGACTAGAAAAATCAATTCCCTCAGATTTTTGCCACTGTATGATTCAAGAATATCACAGTTGAGGAGGCTTACAGGGGTGGTGGAGGAAATAGGGAATGGGATGTTAATGCAAATAAAAACCTTATTGAGTGGGAGATTGAAGAATATGAGGCATTGCTCCACTTACTTTCTATGGTGAATCTTAACGATAACAGTGATCAGCCAGTTTAGAAACTCAAGAAAAAATCTCGTTCACTGTCAAGTCCTACTATAACCACTTTGTTAGGAATGAAGTATCAGGTGAAGCTAGGTTTTCATTCAATCAGATTTGGAAAGTGAATGCTCCTCCAAGAATTGCGTTTTTTGTGTGGGAAGGGGGAAAATATTGCATATTAACCACTGACAAACTGATGAGAGTGGAAAAAATTATGGTAAATGGATGCTTTCTGTGTAAGAGAGAAGCGGAATCCTGTAAGCATATTCTATTATGGTGCCCAGCAGTGTATAGGCTATGAATTATAGTTTATGGATTATTGGAGATTTGGTGGGTTATTGTTAGGTCGGTTAGAGATGAGATTTGAGCATTGGAAGGAATTAGTAAAGGGAGGAACATTGTGAGTCTCATTCCGGTTACTATATTTTAAGTGATTTGTAAAGAGAGAAATAGTAAAGCTTTTGAGGGGATGGAAGAGGAGTTTACTAAAATTATGGACAGATGACTACATTATTTGGGATCTTTGGTTTTAGGGTACCCTATTTATAACATAGACGATTTTGAGAATTTTATAGACATACTCACTGACTTGTAAATAATTTTGTACATGGATGGCACCCTCTTGTGCTATGATTAATATTCATTCTTGTGATACCTTTATTGGA